TGGTAGCAGAACTACCTAGACACACCTGTTAGAGGAAGCTCTTTGCTGCGGTCTACTGGACATTTGTCATAATAACTACTACACAAATCAGCTCTAAAATCGTTACAATTTTACAATTTTAAATGTTTGAAATAACCAAGGTATATGTGATGCCAGTGGCTCCAGCTTAGGCACCGCCACCTTGTTCTGTGAAAAAAAAATTCCGAACCAGCAAAGAAATGCAGAAGCCCTGATTGTTCCAATCCTCACTCACTCATCAAACCTTGAACTCCGCCCTGTAAGAAATGGTTCTCTTAGTGTCAATGATGCAAGATAATTTCTCACCAAACCAAAACATATTAACTTCAAAAACATATGACTACTGTATAAGGAAATGTAAGACAAGATTTAGTACTCCCCTAGCTCTGACAGGCAAATTTTTAGGCATATTATTTGCTATTCAACACTTGATAAACTTTAGTTCTTGAGCATTTATTATTGTATGTCCAAAACTGTCATAGGCCTTTCTACATTTGGGGGGTTTGGGGGGTGATTAGGTTTGTTTGTTTGTTTTTAACAGAGGTACTGGGGATTGAACCCTGGATCTCCTGCATGCTAAGCACACACTCTACCACTGAACTATAGTGTCCCCCTGTCATGGGCCTTTTGAAGCTTGAAGTAAGATAGAAAAGTTTATTTTGTCCCCCAAAATAGTTACAATAAAATATCTTCCAGGATGTTCCACAGGAAAAAAAAGAAAACTCACCATGAGATTTCACTTTGCTAACCTTCCAACAATTACAATTTTAAACCTCAGGTCCTCCTTCTCGTGACAACCCACTCCTGCCCCGCCAGTTTGCATCTTGGCAACACACGGATTGGGTGGAGGTAACCTTTCCAATGTTCACTAGTGTACACTGATTGCCACTGAGACGTCCATCTTTCTGGAAGCTTCCCAGGGGCTCCAGGACTTAACTCTGTGCACAGGGTTCTTTTTGAGTTCCCCTACAGCCCCAGGCCATCTTCCAGCCTTTCCAAGTGAGCTGCCTTCCCAGGACAGATTTCTGTCTCAGTCCCCTTCCCCCCCACCCTTCCCTCTCTTCTGGTCTGTCCCTTTCTCGTCTCTTGTCCTCTCCTCACGATCTGTCCAGAAGGACCTTTTATTTGGAGCATGCGCAAGTCTTGCGGCGCCCACTGCATTTCCAAGAAATGTTGCGTACATTTTCTGTTATCTAAAGCGCATTTCTGAGCCTGTGGCATTTGAAATGTCAACAGGACTTGGAAAAATGTTTTCTTTCCACCCTAACACACGCTCCCCCGGAGGCAGTGGGCACAAAATTATGACAGCTTGACTGAGGAAGGGAAGGGGGGAGACAATTTAGATTTAATTTATTGATTAATGTCTGAAAATTCTATCCCCCTAGACTATGCATTGTGTGATCCTGTTTTTGGAAAAGAAAAAGCGAGAAAATGGTGACTAGAGAAATGGATACAAAGCAAACAAAGAGGCAGTAGCACCCACAGCCACCAAGGGGATGGCGGTATTGTGACCTACTTGCCATGGATAGAATATAACGCAGGGATGAAAATGAATAAACTACAGTGATCCTTAAAAACCTGGACGGATTTTAGTAACAAAGTAGAGGTAAACAGCAAATCCAAGAAGATTAAGCTCAGTATGTTACTCTTCTGCTAAAAAATAAAAAGGGAGGTGGCACGCTGGGCGGTCCTGAGGGTCTGTCTCGGCCTCCACGGC